GCACTCCAGTCTGGGCGACAGAGTGAGACTCCAACTCAAAAACAAAACAAAACAAAAAACCAAAAAAAAAAACCCCAAAACATATGCTATTAGTTTTATCAAATGTAAAATGAAAAACAGAAAATGAAAATCTACCCATAAGAAATGATTTTAGCATTTTTTTAACCAACTGTTTTAACTTGTTAAGTTAATAAGAAAAACAGGTCTCTTTATAGGAAAAAGTATTTCTATGTGACTTAAATAAAAATGGCAGCAATAAGCTTCACTGCTTAATAATTGCTCAGCCTCATTAAACCATTTGAGTACATACAAATAATAGTAAATACAATGATAAACAAACTAAATTCAAAAGGCAAATAAACTATTTGAAATGGTCAACTGATTTTACTCTTACACAATCATGGCATTTTACAGTATTAAGAGGGCTGCGATTATAAGTCAACACGTACAATTGTATTAAAAAGCAAAATGGCACCTGGTAAGCATTAATTTTTGCCTACTGAATTTGAAGTATATTTTATTAGCCAGATGAGTTAACTAATTTTAAAGCTTGATGAGTTACAGTGCACCTGGCAAAGATTAAGTAAAGTTAGAACATTTTTTGAGTGGATTGACAGTAGGAGCTAGAATTGAAATTTATTCTAGTACACTTAGAAGATAAGAGAAAAATGCATCATTGACTGGCATAAATGCAGATTTACCGCTCTTCTCCTTAGCAAGGTTAAGTTATGATTTATGCCAGAGAGGGGGAAAAAAAAAAACAGAGAGAAAGACCTAGAGATTTGTATGAGTGAAATCTGAGCATATGTTACCACAAGTCAACATCTGCATTCTCTGGGTCTAGCAGCACAGGCAGCATTTAGAGAAACTGCAGCTAAACTGGCCTATGGAAAGTGTAGGTGGGTAGGGTAGGATACGCTTTTGGTGAAGGCCTATCTTGGTTTGTATGTGTGGTTGCATGTCTCAGGCTCCTTAAATAGTTATATAGGACTCCATCCACCTGAAAATACTAAAATAGATCAGTAAGAAGATGAGATAAGAAAATAGCATAGTTGAGCGTGGTGGCCTGTGTCTGTAGTTCCAGCTACTTGGAAGGCTGAGGTGGAAGGATCACCTAAGCCCAGCAGGTCGAGGCTGTGGTGGCCATGAGCGTGCTACTGCACTCCAGCCTGGACGACAAGAGTGAGACTCCAACTGAAAAAAAAAAAAAAAAAGAAAAGGAAGAAAGAAAATAATAAAACAGATAGGAAGATGCTGGCTAACTGTTAGTAGAAATGAAAGACCAGCATGGAAAGTCAACTTGTGGTATATTTCCACTGCTAGGGGCTCAATTCTTAGCTGTTTGGGAGGGACTGACTTTCAATTAAGCAAATTGAAGCTTGAGAAAATCAGAGGAGAGACACCTTAGTTATGGAAAAAGTAGATGAAAGTATCTAGTTGTTGCCATGATAGTATCAGTGCAAGGGTCGTAATGTGGTCAGAGGGACACTTACAAGTTAGAACTGGGCAGAGTTCCATTTATCTACCATTTCCCGTTTGGAGGATGGGGCAAGGGAAGGAATGGGGTTGGGAAGAGACAAAGAAAGCACGTGACCTTCCGCATATAACCAATATGCTTGTTCTCAGAACCAGTAACCTACACATTGCTCATATCCAACAACTAGCATTACCTCTCCCCCTTTTTTACACATGCTTGATTATTAACATTTAAAACAAAATTCTATACTGTAGTTTATGAGAAGTAAGAAAGTACCTGGTTGGTGATATGTTCCTGGATATTTTCTGTAGTCACTGAAAGAGAAAGCAAAAAAGACATTTTACATTAAAAAAGCATAAAAATGAATGAAATGCAATACTGATCCTGCTCTGCTCTTAGGGAATAAAAACTCCCAAAGCAAGGATTTGTATCACAATGTGGACATTTACAATCACTCCAATAGTTAGAAAAAAAAGTCAAACCTAAATAAACTCTGTTAGGCAAAGATAACAGAAAATGGAGTGGAAATCCAATACAGGTGATACTGGCAGAAAGTATTAAACTTTGGCAGAGAAGTGATGAAGAGATGAAAAGGACCGAGAAAAATTTGAATAACTGCCAGTCAAATGTTTCCAAACAATGACAACCTGTTGAGGTATAATACGAATACTGAGCTCACAGAACCTTGAGAACTGGTTGAGGAGATCTGAGGTGGCAGAGGGTAGAAGTACTACTTTTAAAAACATTTATCTTACCTGTGAAGTGATGAAGGCATTGTTGTACTTTGTTGTTATGTTACCGCCAGAGACTGAAGCAGAAACTAACAATTCTAGAAATGACATCTTAGTTGTCAGTAGCGGGACACTGCCGGCGGAAGGGGCACTTAACATCAGTAAGGATTCCTGATCCCGACAAGGTGAAATGAGAACCAATGGGAGGTCCAAACTTCACCTGTATGATGAACATTTATGTACTTAATCCTGAATTGTACCCCACATCTTTAAATTTAAAAAAAAACCCAAAACAATGGCTATATAAACAAAAAATATACTTCTTTTTGCTGGACAAGAAAAAGAAATGGCATTTTGGTCAGGATGGAAAAAAATTAGAGTAACGCATGAAAGGCAACAAAAGAACATAAAAAATAAGAATTCTAAAATAATAATCTCCATTCATCGTGAAAATAGCCCAAAAGTGACAAAATGCCATGTAAATCTTAAATAGAAAGAAGTAAAATCCTTAGTAGTACTAAATAAACAAACAAACAAAAAAAACAGAAAAAAAAAAGAAAGAAGAAATTTTGTGGTGCCACAGTTATTAAATGTTGGTGAACACACCTAAGTGTGTTACAAACAGTTTATTAAATGTGTGGGTATTTTTTGGTAGAAAAAACAAACTTCAATTTTAACTGAGATAGTTGCAGTGTCACATGCAATTGTAAGAATGCTGACAAAGAGTCCTTGTACCCTTTATCCAGTTTCCCCTAAGGGTAATATTTTGAAAAATTATAGAACAACATAGCAACAAGGATGTTAATATTGATACTGTGAAGGAAAAGAGCATTTTCATTACCATAAGGATCCCTCCTATTGCCCATTACAGCAACATTACTCCCCTTCCACTTTCATGCCCTCCTTAATCCCTGGCAGTTACTAATCTATTCTCCATGTTTGTCATTTTATTTTCCTCCTTCCTTCCTTCCTTCCTTCCTTCCTTCCTTCCTTCCTTCCTTCCTTCCTTCCTTCCTTCCTTCCCTCCTTCCTTCCTTCCTTCCTTCCTTCCTTCCTTCCTTCCTTCCTTTCTTCTATTTTTGTTTGAGTCTCACTCTGTTACCTAGGCTGGAGTAAGTGGCACTATTATGGCTCACTGCAGCCTCAACCTCTTGGGCTCAGGTGATCTTTCCACCTCAGCTTTCCAAGTAGCTGGGACTACAGGCACATGCCAGCACACCTGGCTAATTTTTGGATTTTTTTTTTTTTTTTTTTTTTAGGAAACAAGGTCTTTCTATGTTGTCTAGGTTGGCATTTTACTGTTTCAAGAATATGACCTTTGTGGATTGGCTTTTTTCCCTTAGCATAATTCTTTGAGGCTTCATCCAGGTTGCTGTGCATAGCAATAATTGGCTTCATTTTACTGCTGGGTAGTCTTCTACGGTATGGATGTACCAAGGTTTGTTTAATCAAGCACCTATTGAAGGATATTTTGGTGGTTTCTAGGTTTTGGCTGCTATGAATAAGGCTGTTATACACATTTGCATACAGGTCTTTTTGTGAATATACGTCTTCATTTCTCTGGAATAAATGCCCAAAAGTGAAACCGCTGAGTTGTACGGTAGTTGCATCTTTAATTGTTTAAGAAACTGCCTAATTGTTTTCAAAAGGAGATACAATAAATGAAACTTACCAGTCAATTAGTCAACCAATAATAAGTATACTTTAAAATTTCACTCACAGGCTAGGTGTCATATGGGATACAGTAGAAGTGTAAGGAGCAAAGAAAATGGCATGGTAGTATTCAGAGTGGGCTATTTGATCATGCTGTCATCAGTAAATGCTTGAGGCCAGTGTCAGAGTTTCCAGATAATAAGAACCAATTTTCTTCATTTTCAAGGGCAATGCTCAATCAGATACTCTTGATATGTTTTACTATTTAGATTTCTTTTGTCAGATTATATGCAGAGTGTTTAAAGAAGAGGCAACATGGTTTGTGAGAAAAGCTTAGCCTTTGAATTATAGATCACCAGTGTTTAAATTTTGGCTCTCCAAAGAAGTGACATTTGAATTGAAATCTGAAAGGTGAGAGGGGAGTTAACCTGGCCAAGAAGAGGGGGAAGAACTTCAGGCAGAAGGAAGAGCACATGAAAAGTCCTTGTGACAGGAGGGAGCATGGAGGGTCCATAGCACAGAAAAGAGGCCAGTGTGGTAAGAGTGGAGAGGTGAGGAGGGTGTGGTGGGCAGGGGCTGCACAGGCAAGCAGGAAACATAGCAAAGAAGTCCATGTAGACCATTTTTTGAGAGATTTTTGATTACCCCAAGAGCACTGAGAAGTTGACCATTAAGGAGATTCAGGCCAAGGTGTGAGTAGGGACATTGGAGTGGCATGCACAGATTTGCATTTTTAAAAGACCACTCAATTCTGGTTGCTAAATAGAGAATAGACTGGACAGTGTGTCAGGGGTGGCAACAGCACTACAAAAATCCTAATTTTGTTTCCTTGGTAACCAAGGGAAACTTGGGGAAATTCAAGAGAAAAATAAGAGCCAAAACAATAAAATATTCACATCGTAAAAATAATGTAGCTGCCAACTGAACTCTAGAAGATGGACTAGAGGACAGCCTGATGTCTGATGTCTGCTCTGCCAATTACTAGGCATTTGATTTGGGGCCACTTACTTAATTCTCTGGCTTGTTTGACCATCTGTAAGAAAAGGAGTTAATAATGTAATCTACCCCTTCCCAGATTTGTGAGGGCTACAGTGAAATAAGGATGAATTTTGCAGGCAAAGGATGAGAGAGGGCATTCCGGGTAGTTGAGGCAGAATGAATAAATAATCAGAGACAGAGAAAAGTAGGGTGTTTTGGGGTGAACGACAAGAAGTTCCAAGTGGCTTATATAATACAAGCATATACTCTAGCCGGGAAGGATCATGGGGTGTGAGAAGAGGGAAAGACCTCAGATTTGGGAGATTGTTGACTTGGGGGGAGATTGGGGGCTTTCCAGGTGTGAGCAGCCAGCAAAGGTCTTTCAGAAGGGGATGAGGATACCAAAGCACTTCTTGGCAAAAGTGAGTTGGGTGGCAGTGTGAGGATGGGCTGACAGGGTCATGGGGGTTGCAGGCGGTGAAGAAAGCAATGAGCATGCGCAGTGTCCAGGCCAGAGGGATGAGTGCTCCAGCCCAGGCAGTGAAAGCGGGAATGGAGGGACAACCAGAGCAGGTGGCACTTCTAGGGTAGGTTCTAGAGACTGGACGCAGGAAGGACCCGAACAGGGAGCAAAGACAGCCCTCAGGTTTTTAGTTAGGGAAACTTATAGTTGGTGATACTATTAAAGATACAATGGGAGAAGGAACAGAACTTAAGAGAAAGTTATTAAGTGAGGCATTGTGCCCATAATTAAAATGAAGATATCTGTAGGTTATGGAAGCTGACATGACAATTATGATAGATAGAATAATGGCCCCCGGGATGTCCACATCTTAATCATTGTAACCTGTGAATATGACAAAGGACTTTGCAGTGACAAAGGATCTTTGCAGATATGATTCAGTTAAGGCTCTGGAGATGAGAAAATTATCTTGAATAATCTGGACATGTCCAGTGTATCACAAGAGTCCTTATATTAGAGGTACAGGAGAGTCCAAAGCAGAGAGAAGGAATGTGACAATGGTAGCAGAGAATGGAGTGATGCCATTGCTGGAAGGGGCCATGAGCCAAGGACTATGGGCAGCCTCTAGAAAGTGGAAAAAGGAAGGAAATGGACTCTCCCCTAGAGCCTCCAGAAGGAACACAGCCCTATTGATACCTTGACTGTAGTCTAATGAGACCCATCTGAACTTCTGATGAGCAGAACTGTAAGATCCATACAATTGTGTTGTTTTAAGCCATCAAGTTTGTGAGATTTTGCTATACCAGTAATAGGAAATGAATTCAAACAAGTTCTTGTGCTCTTTTTTGGCTGTTCCTCAAGGGGCAGGGAAGGAAGCACATCTCTACCAAGTAATTACTCTGTCCTGGGTCTGAGCAACACACTTCACAGACATTATGTACTTGAAACAACCCTGTGAAGTAGAGCTTATTACTCCCTCCCCCGCTTTTTTAAGATTAGGTGACCAGGGCTCAAATAATTTAAGAAAAGTGTCCAAATTTACATGACCTACTGGTAAAAGGACACCCAGCATTCTAAGAAATAATGTTGTTACTCTTAAGACACACCAACAGTCAGCTTTTAGGATAAAACCAGTCTTGTCTGTCTCATATTTGAGTCTTATCTTTTTAGTGTATGGTTAGGTGCAGAATAGAGGAAGAAAAAAATAAAAACACTTGGCAAGGTTATTGGAGTGACAGGTTAAATGGAACATAGAAACAGGTATCCCAGAATTCTTCAATTTTAATCTCATTATGTCTTTAAAAAACAGAGCAGAATCAGTTGCAGAGGAAGGTTCTGGATACTGTTGGCTCATCTTATGGTGAAGATGGTGTCAAGACACTGTTATCCATTCATGAGCACTGGGAATGGAAGATGTAGAAACACCTCCAGCCCGCTCTCACTAACATCTGAGGGGACCTATTTCTTTGATACATGAAAACTTTACCTG